GATTAACCGCCCTGGGCGCTTATTAAATTTTTGGATCTTGAGAGTGGGCGCTTATTCGAGGTGGGCGTTTATTCGAGGCTGGGCGCTTATTAAATTTTCACCATTCTCAACAAGTGTAGTAGTATATTTTACAAACAAACAGTAAATGATACAACAAAAAGTGAAGATGTAACAAAGCAAGGTTTCTGTAAAATACTCTGAAGAAAACTCCGTCTCCGGGAAGGTCTCTTATTATCTCTTATTGGAGTTATTGTGGGAGGGGGTGGGGTGGGGTGGGCGCTTATTCGAGGCTGGGCGCTTATTAACTTTTTCTGCCTTTAGCATGGGCGCTTATTCGAGGTGGGCGCTAATTCGAGGTTGGGCGCTTATTCGAATAAATACGGTATTACGTCTATGGGTCCATGAGTCTTTGATGTCATTGAATGTCTTGATAATTTCCTTTGTCTTTCTTTGAGTTCGCGGACCAGCCATTCCCAAAACACTCAGTGTTATTTTTTAGTGCGGGCCTACCGCGAACAGTGTGTGCATTTGTAAGTTTCACCCGGAATAACATGATTGAACAATATATTAACACGTTCCTCGAAACGCCGCGGCCAAATGTTATCCAAACTGCTTCTAACTGCTGCTTCGAAAAATTTCGGATCAAACGATATCCAAATCGTCCCTCATTGGATTATCCACTCGACCTAACAAAATCGACCAATCACAAAAAATGGACATAAAATAAAGAAAAGAGCAAATTCAGATGACCTCTTAGGAAACATGCAATTAAAACTGTCTTTCGATGATTGGTGCATTTCGATCCTCTCGTCAAAAAAATGTCAGACGTCAATCATCTTAGCGGACCTCTTAGGAAAGGAAAGTTTTCTTCAACGGGTTCAAAAGGTCATTGTTTATGGTTGTGATTGGTGGATTTCGATCCGTTTTTTGAGTTTCTGTGTTTCAAGGTTCGTTGCTTGTGATATTTGACCAAAACCCGACGTTAAAATTCCAAATACTTTTGATAGATTTCATCCCTGGACTTCAGACTTCCAAATTTCGATGAGGCAAAAATACTGAAGATTCAGATTAAATTTTGAGATCGTAAAAGTGCGATTAAGTGCAGTGTGCAAGCAGAGCTTTCTTTCCCACACGCCTCTTACCTTGTACAAGACGTTCGCATGACAGACATTCGCCTCGCTTCGCTTGTTTACTTGCCTTGTTTACGTTAGCACGTATTGCGTGCCTATTGCACATTTGCGTCAAAACAAGCCGTTTCCATAACTCTATTTGGGCCACGCCCAAATAATTATATAAAAAATGTTCACAACACAACGAGCAGGTCCATTCAACTGGCTTATTTTAACTAAACTCGACTTAACTTAACTTCGATGCTTATCGACTTTGCGATCATAAGTTCTACCTAAATTAATGTGTAACTTAACGTAAACTTAACCTTAACTATTAAACTTCTGACGTTGCTGTTAAAAATATCAAAGTTCTCTATTTCAGTCTTACTGGCAACGAGCAGGTCCATTCAAGTGGGAACAGCAGCGGAGTAATTGTGAAGCACTCTTATTGCCTGTCTGGTACTGCTCCCAGGCGTCGAATAGTTTCTGTTGGAGTTGCCTGTACTTCCTTCTCTGTATTCTCTTCAACTTCTTGTCTGAAACAAGCTTGATTGTTATTGACGTTAAGCGGGCTTCTCGATGAAGAAGTTCGATTAAGAGGTAAAACTGTAATATGCATTGGCCACCGGCTCGGCGGTTCAGAGCGTTGTGCCACCCCTCTATATCGTTGTTTGTCCGGATCGGCTGCTTGAAGACACTCCAATCTTTTGGGGTGAAGATGGTGCTCTCAATCCACTGCTCCTGGATGTAGTCAGTAAGATTGCGGAGGGGCTGGGTCTGTGCCTGAACGCTGAGGCGCACGAACATCGGTCTGATCTCGTAGTGAGGGAGGAACGGGAGGGCCATGAGTTTCCTGATGAACCGGTACGTTGCTTCATCGTTACTGTATGCAGTTTGGAGGCCAAGCTCTTGCACCTAAAAAAGTTAAAATTTGTGCCTTTAAGGAAAACGTACGACTAACGAACGGACTGCTAAAGGTGATGTTACACGGGTTGACAGTTTGTCCTAACGCTCTAACGGTTGACGTTTACGTTCTAACAGTTGTATATATTTGTTTCATAAAAAAGGCTCTAACGGCTGACGTTTACGTTCTAACAGTTGTATATATTTGTTTCATAAAAAAAGGCTAAAGCTGTGAAATCCCAATTTGTTTTATAAACTTTAATAATCAGTTTATTGCCTTTTATTCACCATTTTTTTCCGCAGCGAAAAAAGAGTGCTTGACATGAACTAACCTTTCTCCACAGAGTCTGGGTCCAGTGGAACACGCAGCCTTGAAGCTGCACTGCTGGCAGGACGGATCTAAGCGCCTTCCAGACGGCCTTTTCAAAGTCTAGGGTGACCTGCTGGACACTGGGCTGAATTGGCAGGATGCGGATTATTTTCTTCATTACCTAATTTTGTGAAGAGAAAAAGAAATGGGTTCTCGGACGCCGTGTCGTCTCCCATGAGAGGCTCTTCGATGGAAGATTCAATGATGCCGGGACTTGGCTCTAAGGGAAAAATGATAGTCCAAGGTTATACACCCGGGGGGGCACTGCCATATATGGGCTATATAGGTATGTGCCGCTGTGAAGGGTATGGTTTTCAAGCAGTTTACTCTAGGATAGGGTATATAAATCAGAGCGTTTGGGTCTAGAATAGGGTATCATTTTTCAGGAAACTGATCAGTTGGTTGAAGATTTTATCTAGACTAGGTAAACAGCTACTCTAGGATAGGGGGATTTGGGGAGTTTACTCTAGTATAGGGTAGCAAAATTCAGCTGAACTAGCTCTGGTATAGGTTAAGGGTTCCAGGGTCCCAGCGGCACATCCCCACCCAGAAATTCCTCAAGTGCCCCCCGGGGTTACACAATGTAGGTCATTAGCTCATCAGTTGTCAAGTAGTATTGTCTATTTTGTTTAACTTCAGAGGTGACTAATAGGTAAAACTACCGTTTCTAGTAAACACTTAGTGTATCTTTGGGACCTCTTTGGGAAATAGATTAGCGCAAAACACAAAACTGTGTGTAATTTTTTTAAACCCTCCGTATCTTTCAATATATAGATATATATCTGTCTGATTTTAGAAAAAGGTACCTATCTAAGAATCCCAACCATTGGCTAGTGTAGTTTTCTAACTCACTGTCGTACCGGAATGGTCAAGCAGCAAATAGTAGTTTTCAACAACAACAACAATTTTTTTATTAGCGAATGATAACATTGTGCTATACAGTGAAACCCCTTGCCTAAGAACCTATATTTTAAGAACCTGTTTAGTCTAGAAATTGAAACAATTTCTTAGTTTCTAAAATCTCTGAAAAAATTTGCCTGTACCCTTGGGCAAAAGCTAGATCAGTCACTATTCAGAATCCTCTTTGAAGACATACTTGCATTATCGCTCTAACTGGACTGTTTAAATGCCAATGAGGTCAATGCTTTAGGTTTTCTTTATATGGTCGTTTTTACATAACGTCTTATTTGGTGTGCAGATTTTATATGAGGAATAAGCTGAACCACTAAATTCGCTTGGCTATATTGTATTTTTCTTATTCAGAACATAACCTGTGTAAGAACCTAAATAGCCTTAACCTGTACTAACTACCATTTATATATTAAAAAGAATAACCTGTTTAGGATAACTTTGAAAAATCCAGGTTCTTAGTCTGTTGGTACGTTTTACTGTAAGACAAAGGCAAGGCGAAGGAAACTGAGGTGCTGCGTTAAAGAGGAAGCTAATTAGGACACACGATTAATGTTCAAGTGAAAGGTATATAATGATAACTTTCAATCGTCAATCTCGCTCCCCTCTTGGATACATGGTAGGGCAGCATAAAAACGTTCGGCAAGTTCACTTAAATATTTTCTAGCTAGATTTAGACACTGCTGCTTTACATCTTCACGAATTGGCCTTAGTTCCTGCCTCAGTGTGGTCAGTAGGTCTATTCGCAGTGGAGTTGCTTGCCTTCTCTTTGTGTACGAAACTAGCCTGGGTTGCTGTTTTGGGTCAATAGTGAAACGCACGAAGGCGCAGTCGGGATGATCTACAACTTTCAGATTGCCGCTGTCATCAGGCTGTTCCCCAATTCCAACATTAATCCACGCGATGTCTTTGACCTCAAATTTCTCGTGCTGTAAATCTTCGTTTCTACTGACGTGTTTTAAGTTTAAAAATGACTTGTAGTCCTTTATCATGTCAAGACCTACCCAATAGACCTTGACGCTTGATAAACCACTGCTGACTAGAACGTTTTCCCAATCTTTGGGTGTTTCAATTTTCTCTTGGGCGTTAAAAACTTTTTGAATGTTTCCAAAATATCTATCGCACACACTATACGAGTGGCCCTCCAACAAGAATTTTAAGTCTGTTCGTAGGAAGTCTCCTCTTGTGACCAGGTAATCCATATAAAAAAATAGAAAGTTTTGCTTAAACTGAGCCGGAGAATTGTCACACCACACTATAAGATGGTCATACCTGTCTCGGCCTTGCTCCGTCTGAAGTTTTTTGAGAAAATAGTCCAAGATTGAGATCACTTCATTTGGGCCTACACCAGCAATAGACTCGTCGTACATAAAACAGTGTATGACCTCCTGGTTTGCGCAGTATATACCCATTAGGCTTGTCCTGAGCTTTTTTGAGTAATACCAGTCTTGAGACGACACCTTTGGTGTAGGTAAGCTTTTGTGAAAATCCATATGCAAAGTAAGCGTTTTCGAGGCCATTTTAGTCCATGAAAGGGGCTTGACTACGTGAGGCTTAACACATCGTGCCCTCTTTAACGCAGCACTCAGTTTACTTTAAAACTTATCTCTTCAGTTATTTACAGCTTGCGCTAGTGGCTCGATATTCAAAAAAAAAAACTACCGTTATCACTTACGTTTGCGACAGTCATTGGAAGAGAAACTTAAGAGAGCGCGCGCAGGTCCGTTGACCTTGCAAACAGTTGTCTTCACATTAGGGACCCTAAGCAAACACGACTTTGAGCGATGCACGTCAACCGGAAGTGAGGCCTTCTCTTCTTTTATATGCCTTGACGCTAAAAAATTTGTATCGCTAAGTTTCTTTTCTCTTATAAAGACGATTTGCCCGAAATTTTGAGCCCACCCACTGCCCAATGTTGCAAAAAGCCCACTTCCGGTTGACGTCCGTCGCTCAAAAACGCTGTTGCTTAAGCTCCCTGTTGGAGCCAAGAGTCACGTTTGCGGCAAACGTGAATTTGTACCACGTGACCAAGTGTTCCCTGTTTCTTGTTGTGAAATTCTCAACTTGAATCTGACGTTTGCTCTTTTCCGTAAAAGAGACTCTAAATATCTCTGTTCAGTCTGCCATGGCTCACGGTTTCCTGTACTTTTTTGAACTGAAATTGTATGTGTTTTAGTGAATCTTTTTCCGTGATGCGGTGTGTATTTTGTATCAATACGGGGACTTTTTTATGTAATGAATAATTAAAAGGGATGACAATTCGAGGAGGGCGATTTTTTTAAAACAGATATATAACAAATACGCAACCCTTTTTCGGATTCAGGCCCATGTTTCATGGTAGGAGGGAGGGCTACCCACCTCAGTCATAAGGCATAGGAAGGTTGTACTTTCCTCAAGTTAACAAAGCCTTGATCTGAGACATGCGATTAGCTTTGGTAGGCTAAGGTAATAGGCCCTTTGCAACTAGTCATTCACGTGGTACAAAACCGCCGTGCTGGAGAGCAAAAGTCGCACTGGGACAAGACTAACAAAGAAAATTACCATTTAAAATTATGCCGGTATGTCTTTTGTCTGTCTTGTCCCAGTGCGACTTTTGCTCTCCAGCATGGCGGTTTTGTACCACATGAATGGCTAGCTGCAGAGGGCCTATTACTAGTGCCATCAAATCGCAAACTACAAAGTTACCCACCTTCTCTCAAATCAACTCGAACTCAGCAAGTACAAATTCTTTCAACACTTTATTCACCTTAACTATACTGACTTTTAAACTCTTCCTACATTTTCTTGACCTTCAAGCTAAAGCAAAGAGGAAATCAGCGTCGACAATTCATCTGCTAACTTTTATCTGTACACCCATTGACCCGTTTCTTAGACAGAACAAACATGTCATACTTTAAGGCAGCATATCTCCTTTCGCCCTCAATTAAATGATTTTCACGTTCTGTTCTTATTCTTTGAAGTTCTTCTTCATTTCTGGCGCCGTCCTCGGCTGCGCCGTTTGTCATTCGTCCTATCGTGTTTAAGGTCTTGTCACAAACCTGACATGTGTCTTCTCGTGGTTTTCGAAAACCCAACCTGCTGCCGAGATCTTCGTTGAACACGTTCCTGAAGGTAGTAAAACTTATAACAGGACCTTTGTTTTTTCTTTTCCCAAACGTGTCGAGGTGAAATTCGGGTATTGTCTAGTAAACTGTCCCCACATTCTCCTCATAGTTGTCGGCGTATCAAAAAATTGTTTTTCCGTTCGCGCCCTTCTGTAGTGCGAGTGGTTTGCCGAATGGGAACAGATAAACTCTGTTACTTGTCTCCTCGCATCTTCCGTCAATTTGCGCGGTCTGTTACTGTGCCTACCCCGTTTATCGGGGTCAATAGATAAACAGTCACAATCCATTTTCTCTAAAAGGACTTTAATTTTTTTAGGCGACACTCCATAGCATTTCATGAAGGCGATTTTGCACACAGGGCCTAAGGCTGGGATACTGTAGGTTATTTTTCTGCGTCCGCTAGGAAATAGTTCCACTTGTATAAGTTTCGATATCACGTAATTTTGTTCGTTGTAGTTTCTAGATCTATAGAAAGCTCTACCTCGTTCCTGTCGAATAACTTGCCTCGCAGTCTCTATGCCATTCTTTAAAAGACATCCACCGTTGCAGCAGACCAAATTGACCGTGTCAACGTCGCGATAGGCGGCATTTTTTCTCCTTGACGGTGTTTGCTTCCTTGAAGAGTACCTTTTATCCATTTTGAATCTAGTTGTTCTTCTTCCCGTTCAACCGAGGAGGCTGTTGGTGGTCCATGACGGAAATGGCTCCATTGATTGTCCACGTCAAAGTCATACAAAAATCAGGATAGGTCGGGAGCTGATTCTGCTTCACTGTTGGAAGCTGCAGCATAAGCCATAAAAAAAAAAAAAAACTATCGACAAGCAGGAGCGACAAGCTTTGTTCGAATCTTCAGTTCTACTTCAAGTTGTACAAAAACGCGCATTACTGCAGTTACGTAAAAAGGAGACGCCACCGTTCCACTGCTCGCGCAAAGTTTAGAACTGGCACAAAAACGACTGAAAAATCGTTTATTTATTTATTTTTTCTTTTACAGAGGGGATTAACTAGTTAGGTTTTGCGCTTGCAGCCGTTTTAAGATTGGAGAGTATGGTAGATCGCGTGACTGGTTATTTTAGCGCGCCTCGCTTTGAGGCAGAGAGTAAGC